ATTTCCTGGATGAGCTTGGGAGGTCTCGGGAGGATGTGGCTCTATACAGTGATAGCCAGAGTGCGATCCATCTGGCAAAGAATCCTGCGTTCCACTCGCGAACGAAGCACATCCAGATCAAGTACCATTTTATCCGCCAACTTCTGGAGAAGAAGGCACTACAGCTGGAAAAGATCCAAGGAGAAAAGAACCCTGCGGACATGCTGACCAAGGCAGTTACACTGGAAAAGTTGAAGCTATGCTCAGCTTCAACTGGCCTTGTTGATTAGAGCAATCAGACCCGGCGGTACCAGGAAGGAAATGGAGAAAAGAGTCGAGTTGAGAGAGTGAGTGTTTCATACAGGTGTGTGTGAGTTGTACTCCTCGGTTTATCCTCCTCTTTTGAGTAATTTCTCCTGGCTTGGTATCGCCTCCAGACGTAGGATATATATCCGAACTGGGCCAATACTTTATCCTTCACTGAACTTCGCTTCGTTCGTTGGGTCGATTACATTAAGCACAACATATCTCTTGAGAAATTTCAGCATCTGAGACAAGTCTAAACCTTGCTTCAAACACTATCGCATTTACTGATGATGAGCTCCCACCTGAGGGTACGGGACACAATAAGGCCTTACATATCCAAGTAATGTGCAATGAAATGGTGGTAGCAAGAGTGCTGATCGATAATGGCTCAGCCATCAACGTATGTCCATTGGTCACTATTATGAAGTTAGGAATTTTTGAGTGAACCATCCGCCCCAGCGACATTACAATTCGTGCCTTTGATGGGTCGAAGAGGCAGATTCTCGGTGACATCGATTTACCAGTGGAAGCCTTACACTTTCGAGGTGTACTTTCAAGTGCTGGACATCCCCGAAACACACAACTTTCTCCTAGGACGTCCGTGGGTTCATTCTGCAGGTCTCTCGAGCCTCAAGCCTGAATCAGAAAATCAAATACATCGTTCGGGATCATCTGGTAACAGTTCATGCAGAAGAAGACCTGACAGTCCTCCGATCCTCTTCCTTACGGCCTATCGTTGGTTAAAGCATTTCCTTCACGTGGTCTTCTTAAGCCTATGTCTTGTGCTCTTCCTTCTTCTTTCTTCAGGCGTAGGCAGGGCTTTTTATGTCTACCCTATTTGGTTTCTTGATTCCGAGACGAACTCCACCGCATCTTTCTCATGCCGTTTATCCTTATCAATTATATCTTCCCCACTGTGTTCTTCCTTCTGGAGATGGGATTGCGTTTCTGATCACCTCTAATGTTGATGCTGAGACTTCTGCTTTGACTGTATACCATATCATTCGAAAAGAAAGATCTACTACTCATATTGTATTGGTGCGACGCTGAACCTCAATGTAATCGACCCAACGAACGAAGCGAAGTCATAAAAAATGCGACAAACAACAAAAGAACCAAAGAAAGGACTTCGGAAGGGAAGAAAAGGCTGCCATTTCATCAGTACTCTTTCTCTAGCGACTTCTCTGGAGCAGCTTTCCGTCAATCGATCCATTGCATATGAAGTGGAACAACTGGCCCTCGGCCTACTTCTTTCCAAGGTTATATCTGGATGAAACCGAAGGTCAGCATCTCCCATATTCTTCTCTTCTTTCCTGAAGTGGCGAGAAGTCTGGATTGTGAAGAAAGATGGAATATTACATGATGTAGCGAATCATGTGGAGAAGTCTGTCGTGAGATAGCTGATTCCGAAACGGATATATCCATAGGGTGTTGCACCCGTTCCGAAAGACAACTCCGCATCGCCTGCTAGCTTGAGTCAGTGGTTCCTTGTTAACAATCAGAATCTATGGGGACTATCAGCCGAAAGGCTATCCCGTAGTGGACTCCCCTATGGTTTTATCAGTCTGACATGAATCCGACCCTGGGAAAGAACTGACTTCGATCTCTCCTCATCAGTGCTCAGACGCGGGTCTTCACTATCGATATCACGGGTCATACGAAGACTGTTCTTAGCCGTTAGTCTTTAGATGTGGAACTACCCCGCCCTGTAAAACCTAACTTCGGAGTAGCAGCTGATTCTTTCCCTGATAGTGCCACGGAGGTCAGTCAGTATAATCAATAAAAGAGTG